TAATAAAGAGTTGGAGTACAGGCATTATACTTTAAATTTTAGCACATGAATATCAAGCTGACAAACAAGGAGCTGGGATGATGGCAAAGGCTAATATGTTTAGCATAACAAAAGAGGTGCTAGTGCCAGCGCGAACAGTTCATTATAAACGTCTCTTTAGCAGAGATGAAACTGCTATGCTTACACGGATAGATCAAACCAACGACTTATACCAAATTAGAACAGAATAGCATTGAACCACGAGATTACGAGACGAGGGTTTTATCGCTTGAGTGCAAGGTGCAGTATGTAAATAAAACAATACCTATATCATAAGCTGTTATATGATAATAACTGTTTCTGATGCATTTGAGAACGTGTAAACAAAATGTGATCTTCAACTTATACTCTCATTCCTTCCATGTGAATGGTGAGCTGTAGCATCTATGAACCGCGGCGCGTGACGATAGCGTCTTAGTTCGTCGATTAATCATGCATATTTTGGGAGAAAGAGCACTACTGTGATGTTCAGCAGAACCATCGCTAATCTGTTTGCTAGTGCCTAAGGACAACTGTGATAATGTAATGGAAAAATAATGATCGCGCAGTTAGGTTATCTGGCAACTTCAGCAGCAATGCACTGCTCGTAAATTAGCGGAAGGCAATCTACTTCTGATGGAGTCTTTTCCCAAGACCAAGAAGATAACAATGGTAAAAGCTTTAACCATTTATAATTCAGTTTTGCTCATTTCCTGCTCAAAACCTAGTGAACCTCATGTTACATTCTCGGAATTTACAATGCTGCACGTTGACCAAGAGTTCAATTTTCGAGACCAGATCATATCACTTTACCCCAAAGTGTCATAGGGGATGTGAGGTCTGCGCTTAACTGCAAGTCATTTACAACGTCAAGCCTACCTTCTCTCTGATCCATGTCATAATTGAGTCTACCAGTTGTTGGAAATGAAGGATGTCGCGGGCTTCCTCAAGAGATAAGCCCTGTTCATGGCACGCCTGAACTAGCTCTGACCATTTCCTCAGCAACTGTCCAATTTGTGCTGCGATCTGCTCCCTTCCTGGGTGTTTTCGTGCTAGCAATTCGTCAGCATCGTGTTTGATCTGCTTGGTTCGTGGTTCATTAGCGCTCAGCTCTGCCTCAAAGGTTAGGTGTTTCTGCAGCAACTTCAGCTTTTCCTGGAAATCTGCCTTTTGCACGTTCTGTTCGTCAGCCTGCAACTTGTTTAGTCGCTGATCGATCCAAGACTCGGTCTAATGAAAAATAAACCTTGAATCATATGCATATTGTTTAGAGTAAGTGCTAAGAGCTTAGCAAAAAATGCATAAATACATACCTCAGACACGTCGCTCTTGAATTTGGCGTACAGAAGCGCTTCTTTGAGAGCGGCACTTCGGCTGTTGAACGAAGTTTTTAGTAGTTCCCATCGGTTTTCAATATCGTGCAAAGTGCTTCTCATTCGATCTTGTTCGAAGTGTTTCTCCTTTAACAAAACGGTCGCCTCTCGTTTCAAATTGGAAACGCGGTCGCCCAGCGAATTCACAACTTTTCCGAACGTCTCTTGTTTGCGGATCAATGCGTTCACCTCCTCGACAGATTCAGGAAACTCGCTAGATTTCAGCTGTGCCTATAAAGTCTCATTATGGTATATGCGTGCAAAAAAATCAAGTGTTTACGTCGTATGAGTTCATCAGCGACATGACCTGCTTGGCTTCCCTCAGGAACGAATGCAGCTGAACGATCTGGTTGATCTTATCCGCCTTGTTCGCCCATATGTCAACAATACTGACTTGCACTTTTTGAAGTTGTGACAGCTTTTCGTTTATCTAAATTGTTGCCCATAGTCGGAAGATTATAATAAATTTGCATTAACGATCATCGAAAAATTACACAGAACATAAACATTCAAAACGATCGAAGTTTCTTCAAGTTCCTGCTGGCCAGTGGAACACCGTTGCCAGTTCACACACTGTTTACGGTGCATTGCCTATCAACTGCAGAACTCCTATGGATGGTAATGAGATTGTAAGCTAACAGCAGCTACGAAGACACACTATGAATAGAAGAAACGACCATACAGAATAAAGATTTACTAACTATTATCTGCGAAGAATGACTGATTAGCTATCATCTATATTTGTTCGCAAATAGGATGAGAGATTTTTTTATCACG